CCATCCTCGCTATAACGATAAACTGCATCTGGCACTGAGGCCGCTGATCGGGAGGTTTTGTGAAGCATAGAACAACCTCTTAATTGCTCTTGTTCACAGATCCACCCTTATCCCGGGTGGTAGCACCTGTTAGAGTCCCAGCTACGGGTAAATAATTAAATCCTAAACTGGGTTCAAAACACTAAAAGTATAAAAAAAATTTAGTAAAAATACCAGTAATACATTTTCATAGTAAAAATATTACCAACAATACATTTCTGGAAGGAAAAAAATATTACCAGCAACACATTTCTGTAAAAAAACTGCAAGCAATACATTTCTGTAACAAAAAAGTATTACCAGCAAAACATTTCTGTAACAAAAAATACCAGCTATACATTTCTGTAACAAAAAATTGCCAGAAATACAAAACCTATAATAAAAAATATTACCAGAAATACATTTCTGTAACAAACAATATTACCAGGAATAAATTTCTGTAAACAAAAATACCAGTAATAAATTTCTGTAACAAAAAGTATTACCAGAAAGACATTCTGTAAGAAAAGAAATTTCCAGCAATACATTTCTGTAACAAAAAATATTACCAGCAATACATTTCTGTAACAAAAAAATATTACCAACAATACATTTCTGTAACAAAAAATTACCAGCTATACACAACTGTAACAAAACGATTATTATCATCAATATATTTTTAAAAAAAAGAAACAAATAACCAATACTACATATCTTTAACAGAAAATAATATAGCAGCAATACATTTTTATAGAAGAGACTGCTAATGATTTTTTTAAAAAATCATTTCACCCCAAGCAAAGCGGAAATGCCACAAGTACGCAGAGAGTACAAAGAGAGAAAGTGAGAGAAAAGTCTGAGTATGGAGAGGATTAAGGAAATGACCAAAGATGATCGGGATTCTAGAAGATAGACGATCGCGTTGTATTTAGATTTTTGAAGATTATAGTTACCAAGTCAAGAAAATTAAATGTCGACATTAAATGATTACAGTGAACTGATCTTAGAAAATATCTCTTGTATATACTTAATATCTGTCTCTATTTCTAGGATGAGATATTGTAACTATTTACATCACGACGTTTCTACTGTGGCACGCTCCGGCCTTCTTCAGGTAATATACGCTGGAATTTTGAATCGAACAATTTATTTAGTCCACGAGTGTAGATTATAGACCTAATTCCATGTGGCATATCTTTTTTGGAGATCTCAGTTGCAGTTAGTCCCCTTTAGTAATCCAAGGACAAATGGTCTAATGGATAAAGCTTTGATTGAGTAATCCAAAATAAGACTTGACCCAAAGAGTTGTGAGTACAATACGGGCCAGAGCAGTGGGAACAAAAGTTTGGAGAGCTGAGTTATTAAAGGGAATTACCTGAAACTGAGATATGCAAAAAAGGCATGGCATGTGGAACTAGAAGAATCTACCCCATCGACTAACTTAAGGCTTCAGTTCGAAATACCAACGTATAATCACCTGAAGAAGACCGGAGCATACATCGCCCGAAACGTGAATATAGCAATAATGATGAGGACAACAGTCCGAACAATGTAAATAGTCTGAATAGCTGCAATACCTCACCCCAGAAATATGCACATATATAGATTATATACGGGATATATTTTCTAAGATGAGTTCACTGTAATACGAGATTGAATTAAATAAACCAGCAATAGGACATAAGTCCTTCATATAGGTGTGTTCTTTTGAAATCAGCATCCAAATTCTTGGTTATTACATATTCTCGAACATTAACCTCTGATCCTGTTGAAACTTGACTAATGCATGGAATAATAATGCAACACAAAATGTACTTAGAACAAAATGTATTGAAACAAGAAAGTGTACACAATATTTACATATAGTCTTTTGTATATTCCTGGGAGGACCGTTCCTTGAGAATGTGTTGACTTAGTCGCAGTCGGGCAGAGTCTCTGGATTGAATCTCTTGATTCCTCCCCCATCTTCCCGGTACCAACCATATTTATATGGTCGGTACTCCACTATGCAAATTAGGTGGATCCTATCACAACAGATCCCAATGGAAATCCGGCAAAACTAGTTGACAAAACTAACCTGGGCGTAGGCCTCGAGAAGGAACTCCAATCTTTGGTTGACTGGAGCTGGAAATGGCTTGTAAACTTTAATGTGTCTAAAATAAAACTGCTCTCATTTACCCACAATAGAGAACTCTCTCAGCCTCCCATCAGAATGGCTGATGCCAACTCCACGAGATCGCCTCTCTGCGCCTGCTTGGTCTCACGCTGTCCACTGACCTGAAGTGGAACAACTACATTAAATCTATAGCTTCATCTATCGTAGGAAAAAGTTGTTTCTCTGTGTCGCGCCAAAAGGTTTTTCTCGCCTGAGTCCCTCCTTCAAATCTACAAATCAACCCTTCGTCCTTGCATGGAATACTGCTGCCATGTATGATCCGGGGCTCCCGCAGTTCATGTCGAGTTCCTCGACAAAATCCAGAGACGGATATTTAACGTGATTTGTCCTGATCTGACATTGCGTTGGCATATCTGCTCTGGGGCCCCCACTGTTCGTTTCGAGGTCCTCGACAAAATCCAGAGAGGGATATGCAATGCGATAGGTCCGGATAAGGCATCTCATCTACAGTCACTTTCTCAAAGACCTGCTGGTGGCTTCCCTTTGTCTTTTCTACAAGTATTTTCATGGCAGCTGCTCGGAATAGCTACTTTTACTAGTTCCCAAACTGCATGAACTTTAAACGTGCTACTAGGTTGGCATCTCGGTCCCACCCTGTCTGAAATGGCAAAATGTACCATCTCTTCTATTTTAACAGCTTCTTATCTCGCAACTTCCATCAGTGAAACGCCATTCCTATCATTTGCTTCCCTGATAGCTATAATCTTCAAATATTCAAATGTAATATCAATCGACGTCTTCTGATGACTTCACCTTAATACCTGTCCTTCTCTTTATCGTCTTCCAAACACTCCTCTTTACTCTCACTCTCTGTAACCCTTTACGTGCTAGCGGCACTGCTGCCTTTGCGGGGTTAGTTGCTTAAAAAACCTTTTTGGGTTTCTTACACGCCAGACACTGTGGTCCTCGAAAAGAACAGTACAACATCGAAGCGTCACATGCTTCGCTGGAGAGGTCGTGTCATTCCTCATAAAGACAACGGAATACTTCAAACCAAGGATAAACCAAAATAGTGCTTCAAGCACTTTTTAAAGAATTAGCGTAATCTGAATTTTACTGTATATACTCGTCTATAAGTCGACTACATAAATAGTGGAGACACCTGATTTATTGTTGCATGCTTTTGCAGATGGCTATATAGAATACTAGCAGGATGGCCCAGCATTGCTCGTGCTTAATTCAAAATTCGTATGACTCATACAGCAATCGCTATCACTTGACTTAAAATATTCTTCCCCTTTCTTGCCTTTAAAGGGGTGCCCTTTGCCGTGCTGATGTTGCTACATGCCTTACTTCTTGCCTATCTCACACTGCGATTATTTTCAAAGCTCTATACTAAACATTAAATCTGTTACCAGAAAAGAAATATAGAAAATGAACACAAAACGTCAGCTTTAAAAAAGGACTCGTAACTGGAAAAACCGAAGGAAAAAAGAATGTTAACAAAAATACTTTTTCACACCCAACCCAGTTCTGCGGAATCAGAATCAACGTTAAGTTTAAGCAAGCGAATGAGCCAATTGGAGTAAAGTGTCATGCAGATTTAAATTTTTCCCACTTGTGACGAATGCAGCTATCGATTTTTTTGCATGCTAGCATGCTAGTTATCATTCGTGTGAGTCAGTTGTTGGCTCTCACGCTGGCCAATAGAATCTCCCTGCCTATTCGTGGCAGCCAGCTATAGGCTCTCACTCTGGCCAGTACAAAATGGCCGCAAACTACATGAAAACTTCCGTAGAAGCATGAAAAAATCGATTATTTCCACTACCGATGGGAGTTGGGAAATGTAAAGTCGGTCTTGCCCTTCCCGCTAACTTGAAGCATGTGCATGTAAACTTTGGTTTAAATTCGTCGAAAATTGCGGCCGTGCATTCGTTACACGCACACACACATCTTGCCTTTTATAGATAGAGATCCTGGGTGCTACTTGTGATCGATATGTGCAGGCTTACACTTCCTGAAGGCAATAAACTATTCCTAAAACTATGCAATGAGTTGGGCAAATGGCGAGAGCGTAACGAGGAAAGGTGAAGTCATTAATTCAGCAGTTCATCGATTTGCATGCGATAGATGTGCCAGAGTATACCTCTCCAATGCAGGGCTCCTTAGTAACAAGAAGGGTCACATTGATGGACTTTTCATTAATCCTGATCAGTACAACATTGGACATATGCAGGGTATGTAACAAAAAAAAAGGACACTCAGATAACGCTTAGGTCTCACCCGTCATATGTCAGCAAACTGACAAGCTGAAAAAACATTACAAAACAGGCCAAGCTCTGTACAGAACAGCTTAATTTGCTTAATCTTCAATAAAATATGCAAGTCACTTACAAGATTCAAGGAAAGCTGTAGCACTCACAAGAACGAAAAACATTAATCAAACTTATCAGCGATGGTCATACTCGTATGATGAGAGGCATTATATTTGTTTGAATTGACACAAGCCCAGGTTAAGACAGGCACCATTAAAACGAAAAAAAAATGTCGAGAGAAACATGTCTATAAAGCAAATTCGATAGACAGCCTCATTTTGAGATTAATTGGAAACGAGGCTTAAACTTGTTTCCGGAAATAGATTTCAAACCCGATACATACAACTTACTTCCTCACATATTATTATTAATATTGTCAAATAAAAAATATTTTCTCGTGTAAAGTTATGTGTATGTATGTGTATAAATAGGTAGAGATTTTAAAGGAATGTAACAGACGGACTGGAAATGTAATGAAAAAATGTGAAAGTGTATATGAAAAGTTGTATAAGAACATAGATATACGCAAATAGAAAGAAAAAACAATTATTTTATAGATAGATAGATAGATAGATAGATAGATAGATAGATTTGAGAATACATAGACATGTAGATAGAAAATCAGAAAAAATTAAAATAAGAAAAAGACAGAAGCCGAAGTAAAAGTAATTAAAATGAAAAAGGAAAAAAAATAAATATAGACAGACATACAGATAGATAGATTTGAGAATACTTAGTTATGTAGATAAAAAACAAAAAAAAATAAGAAAGAGTAGGAAAAAATAAGATGAATTAGTTAAGAAATTATGAGACTGTGATAAAAAAGAAACATAGATATGAACAAACTGAGATAGATAGATAGATAGATAGATAGATAGATAGATAGATAGATAGATATGAACAGCCTGCATAGATAGATAGATAGATAGATAGATAGATAGATAGATAGATAGATATGAACAGCCCGACACATAGATAGATAGATAGATAGATAGATAGATAGATAGATAGATTGATAGATAGAAGAATGAAATAAACAGGGATAGATAGATAGATAGATAGATAGATAGATAGATAGATAGATAGATAGATAGATAGATAGATGAAGAGAAAAATAAGGGTAAAGAATCGAGAAATAATCATATAGACAGAGTGAGAGGGGAAACATAAGAATAGAAAGCCAAAAATCGGTTGGTTGAACTCATGAAAAAAAACCCCCAAAAACCCGAAACCGCAACCTCCATTTCTATTGATAAACGCGTGTGCTTTTTTTTCTTTACTCAGATAGCACAATAGATAATATCCTATTGTTTCTGATTTTTTTTTCTCTCTCATGGAAACTCTTTATTTATCTTATTATAGGCTGCGTAATTTACTGGCAACCAAGAAACGGGTGACACGATAAATTATTTCAACCACGACAAATAAAGTCGGAAAGAAAAGAAAAGAGTCGTTTTTATCTTGAATTCTATTTCTGAAGTTGGTCCACGGCATTTTTTTCGCAAACACGCTTCTCTTAAAAGAATCTGTCAGGAAAGGAAGAAAAAAATATATATATGGATCTCTTGATATGTGTGTGGTGGGGGTGTATGTTTGTGTGTGTGTGTATGTTTGTGTGTGTGTGTGTGTGTGTATGTTTGTGTGTGTAGGTTTGTGTGTGTAGGTTTGTGTGCGTGTATGTTTGTGTGTGTATGTTTGTTTCTCTGTGTGTGTGTGTGCGCGTGTGCGTGCGTGTGTGTGTGTGTGTGTGTGTGTGTGTGTGTGTGTGTGTGTGTGTGTGTGTAGAACATATAGATAGGAATTGGTGCTGAAATGTTCAGAGCCCAACATACGTCCGAAAATTTGAACTAATGCTCATACGTCAGATGTGTCTAGGAAAGAATTCTTTGTCAGGTCGAGAATATTCCAGAAAAATAAGGCAAAGGATTAAATAATATAAAGAATGATAAATTATGTTCGTTGAAAGACTAGCTAGCTAGGTAGCTAGCTAGATAGATAGATAGATAGATAGCTAGATAGATATGAACAGAATGAGATAGATAGATAGATAGATAGATAGATAGATAGATAGATAGATAGATAGATAGATAGATGTTGACATAAAAATATGAATACATGAATGTAGATAGATAGATATTAAAAGATAGATAGTTAGGTGAATAGATATAGATGCTAATATAAACATATGAATATATGAAGATAGATAAATGTTAATATAAATATATGAATGAAAATAGACAGGTAGACAGACAGCTTGATAGATATTAAAAAGTAAAAATATAGGTAGATATCTTGATAGATATTAAAATATAGATAGATAGATAGATAGATAGATAGATAGATAGATTTTGAACATAAATCAACACTAAGTTAATCTGCACAAACACACACAGTCATATATATATATATATATATATATATATATATATATATATATATATATATATATATATATATTTAAATGGCGAGACATCCATCATCGCAAACAATTCAAATAATATACAAAAACCTCCGTATCTGTAAATTGATTGCACGTTTATCATAATTTAAATAACTGATCCAAGTGCGACTTTTGGATAATAAGTGCGACATTACTGTAATTATTGAACAATATAGTTCATGCCACTTTGACAGAAAAATTTAACCTTAAAAAATTCGTTCATCACCATATATGAACGCACAACCTTTAAAATTTAAAATCAAACTCAACGTTGCTTTTGCGCGCTCCAAAACAGTAACTCATTTTCAATAGCATTTTCGGATACAACAATACATATATTTTCGTTGTCCTCTTATTACTAAGAGAAAAAACAAGAACAACATCTATTCTATACCTGAAGATGTCTGTAGGAACAGACGGAAAGCTTGTAGTAAAATAAAACTAATACGGCAGAAATTTATAGAAACAAGGATCATTTCATTCATAACGGATACGGAGGTTTTTGTATATTATTTGAATTGTTTGCGATGATGGATGTCTCGCCATTTAAATCATTAACCTTTGCATTAGTTTTGTGTGAATAATTCATGTATTTGTAAATTGATTGCACGTTTATCGTAATATATATATATATATATATATATATATATATATATATATATACAAAATGAATAAAGACAATAGTCGCAGAATTTCGTCCTCTGAGGGACTTTATCACAGCAAATACTTGGGTAAATCCCTGTGGACGAAACGCTTAGCTAAGAAAAGTATAACATTATTTACACTATCTATAGTATATTATTTACTCGATTTATATTCGGGCTTTTGTCCTCATCGTTTCCTACGTGGCTCCCCACGGCCTTCATCAAACCATCGCCATGCCAAG